GATTTGTAGGGACGATTCGTTGTCGATCAAAATTTTTACAACTATTATTTATAATAAATGATTGATTGTTTGATTGATATTCAGTATCTCACTTGTTTTTTTGTTGTTTGTGTTTCTATCTGTTGCTCAGACGGCCGTTAATCCCAGAGTTCAAAGTAATATTTTGCTTTTAGACGACTCCTTCATTTTGATTACATACTGGTTTTCGATGCAATCGAATTGTAATAATTATATTGGTTGGAATAGTTAACAATTGTATCTTCGTTGTTTTCCTGACTACGAGTTAATCCCTTTTTGCTAAAAAATGAGATAAATGTAAAGATTGAGATTTCAGATCTAGATATTACAGTGTCTTCTTTGTAATTACTTTGAGATTATTTATTAAATTACCTTGATTATAGCAAAGATTATTGTTTATATTCTACCTTGTGTTTTATTTTAATTCTTTAGCTTATCAAGCCCAGAACAATTTTCCAAAACCAATTTTCAAATTTTGAATTTGACAATTCTAAAGATATCAACAAGAATTGCAAAATTAAACCACTAATACTGGTATCTTGCAATTTAACAGTACTTAAGCTTATCCAAAAAGCGCAATTCAGATTAGATAGTTTTGAAATAACACATTTCGTAGTAGTAAGATGAATCAAGGGGCGAGTACAAAAAAGTCTGGAAGCCGACCTCTCCCGTTACAGACCTCTTTTATCGCAGACATCTTGAAAACCGAAGTTCACATTACATTCAATGGATGCCGCTTGGTTACCATCAAGTTATTTGCGGAGGCTCACACCCTGGCAGGACTTGTTCTTGGATAAAGACATCCAAATGCTAACACTAGAACATGCACGAGTTCAGCCCTGACGATACATAATCAAAAGTGCTAAAGCGGTGACGTTACATTAGATATAGTTCTCAAATAATCATCCAGCTCTAAAAATCTCTAAAAAGAGGGAACATTATTCATCTGTAAGATCCCCCCCCCCCCCCGCCCTCCTACGGTATGTTCCAAATTATTAAAAAAAATCACCTTTTGGATCTGTCATAGTAGAAATCGGATAGGAATCGTAGGGGGAGGGTTAAAATGCGCAACTGTCTGTCTGTCTTCGATCCAATCCGCCAAAGCAGTAACTATAGCACAGCAGATTCTCTCTTACCTGCAAAAAACCGATGTGCAAATTAGCTCCTGGGCATTGATTGGATGTGACAAAACTAATGTTAACACATGGTGGAAGGGAGGAACAATACGCACAATTGAAATTTAAAAATTGGTAAATCCCTTCAGTGGTCTATTTGCTTGTTGCACACCAATGAGTTACCCTTACGCCATTTGCTGCAAGAGAAAGATGGCCACATAGGAGGGCCATATTCATTTTTTGGCCCTCTAGAATCATTACTAAATGACTGTGGTATTTACCTGTTACTGATTTTGAACCGATTGACACGGTGTTGCTAAAAATTGACGAAAAGGGTCTAACTACCTATCAGCAATACCTTTATAATAGCTATTTATAAGTTGCGAAATGAGTGCCTTTTAGGCACGCGACGTGAAAATTGTCCAACGAGGCAAAGCCGAGTTGGACAACACGTCTAGTGACTAAAAGACATCGTTTCGTAACGAATTATATACAAGATTTTTTGTGAAAGCGGAGAATTTTATTAGTATTTTTAAACATTTTGAAAAGTAGGCAGGCAATCTGATTCCAAGGCAATGTTTATGCATAATTTAATGACAAGTGTGACGTTAAGGTTGAACGTAGCGTGTTGCCGTCTTTCCCGCAAAGTTTTGCGAAAAAATTACTTCAAATGAGTGATATTGGCCAGTCTTTGGATATTGAACAAGCTGCTGAAGCTGCACTATCCACGTTAGTACCGGAAAAATCGACATTTATACGACATTTATACGAAAAGACCTACGACAAAATTGATTTTAATGTTTCATTTTTATTTTTAGGCACTAGTGCCTAAAACTTTCACATTTACGCACTAGTGCCTAAAAGAGTGTCACTTCGAAATTCTAATCAATATCAAAATTTGTCAATTTCGAAACGCTTTTTTTTGACATTTAAAGTGACACTTTTCACAATTGAGATGTGAAAAGTAGAATATTTCGCAAATGAAAAGAATTCACTTTAAAGGTCAAAATTAAAAAAAAATAGATTGGTTCCATTGCAGTACGACTATCACAGAGCCTCCAATTACTAAAAACTTTAGTGTGGAAGGGTTGCTTCCTCAACAAGGAAAAATTGCCTTTCCCAAATTTCTATGTCACACACAAACCGAAGACATGTGCGTCAAACTAGTGACTGAAGTATCTTCCAAAGCTCTAGAGATGGATTCATTATCTCTAAATTAAATGCAAGAGAAATGTTGCATCCTTTTGGAAACAAAAGTCAATATTTTGCATCCTTTATGAAGAAAAACTAATGTAGTAACCTAGTAAGTGTATGCGCAATACAGTGGCGGGAGGGTGGGTTGAACTCGATATGCAGCCATTTAGACCGGGCGCTAGATAGACTTGAGTGTGCAAAATATGAGGACCGCATTCTGTAAATAGTTTTGAACTCTGAAAAGGTTGCAGAATATAATTCTGGATGTTGCCAGCAGCTTTGTTGGTCCAATTATTTTTTATACCCCACCTCTTTAGATATCAAGTAAATAGACTGAACAAATTATGCTTTGGAACTATTTTAATGACAATATCAAGTTGCTTCTTATGTTTAAAGATTAACATAGTTAGTCAATTGTCACAACAATATAAAATAATTGAAATAAAAACAAGAACTGTTGACAAAAAAAATTATTTCATACGAAAAAGCAAATGTTAACATAAGTTATCAAAAAAGCAACTGAGCTTTCTGTACAAAATTCAACGATGCAGCTTGTAAACTATTTCGAACCCAATCTGCTAGTTGAATCACAGAGTGTAATGATGACAAAATACGACAAGGGATTGAGCAGCCAAATGACATCCTGAAATGTATTTCCTCTTATATAAGTCATAAGAACATTCAAACCATACACCTAAACAACCTAGGCGAGCTACCTTCTTCCAGAAATAGATTCCTAGGATGAAACCATCTGTATCAGGCTAAGGATTATGATGTGAGCAGATAGGGTTTTTACTGCGTGAAATATGTTATAAAACATCCCAGAATCGGCTTTTAAATGGTTCACATTCAAGCAGGTACTGAAAGTCTTGAAACATTTCGTTGGATCATCAAATCCTCCACAGATATATAGATCGCGACGCGATCTTCTTTGTACTTGTGTATATTTAGGAGTGGCAGTACAGAGCATTCAAACGAGCTGTATCTAATTTATTTTCAGGGTTTGAAAAGAAATTATTACAATTTTTGGCATTTTTGTGCGATCATTTGAAATTACAAAATTTTTAATCTCTTGACCTTTACTACGTAAAGTTGACTAAAGTTTTTATCGAAATATCATCAATTTGTCTTATTATATTTAGCTGCACGAAAAGGTTACAGATTTTTGTGAAGAATGCCTTGTAATTACTTGTGAGTTTGCGTTATATTTATATGTTATATTTATATATTATTTTTATTGACGTGTAAATAATTGTTATTTCAATTTCTTTTGCAAATATATGATGTGCTTGATATGATATCTAACAAGGACAATGTCGACTCTCTTTTCACATTTTCTCATATCGATATATTTGCATTTTTTGGAAGATTATTGATTTTTCTCGTGTACCTATTTCATTTATGAATTCTTTATTCTTCATTTCTGTTTTATTTCATTTGCCAAACTTTAATTATGGTTGATCATTAAAAAAAAACAATAATTGTCACAAAATTATCAGGATAGAAATATAACATGCACTCAGGCAACTTACTCTCGGCGCAAGAGGAGGGGGTATAACACAAAATTGGACCAAGAGGTGTTCCGGCAACATCCGAATTAATCTACAAGCTTTTCTGAACTGGGATCAATTGGCAGAATGCGGTCCTCGGTTTTTGCACACTCAAATCCATCCAGCGCCTGCACTAATCTCCTCGTGGTGAGTTCTGGGTTAATTTGGTTGCAAATTAAGCGAAAATCTGCATATAAATGTGAATTTGAAAAAAAAATTAACCCCCGTGGGGCGCAGCTACAAATTGAAATACACCAACCAAATTTTTTGTGGGTCATATGTATCGGTTCTTTGCTATGACAAATCAAAAATATGACTTTTGAAAATAAAGGCTAAAGTTTTTATTTAATTTCGCCTCTTTCGGGCTGCCCTAACGTTCATCTAAATTTTATTCGCTCGCTTAAATTCGCCCCCGTAGTACCGGAAAGTTCACACACCTCTCTCTACCAGAATATTTGATCGGGAAATTTACAATTACAATCTTGAATGCACACTGAGGGTAACTTTTAAACTTAGATCCTAAAAAGTTGTCATATTACTGTATTTTTTTTCTATAAAAAACGCAAGTTAACTTGTCTGTGGTAATATATTTTGGGAAGGAAGGGAAGGGGGTTGTTACCAGTTGAAATTGTTCCTGATTTAAGTTCGGAGATTTAGTTTCATGTTCAATTTGGAACAATTATTGATTTTATACGTGCTGAAAATAATTGGGAAAAGTCAGTGATATTTGTAAAGCACTTTTTATTACATTGATATTTTCCTAATCCAAAACCTTAGTGAACGCACTAAAAGCCTAACGTGAAATGTAATCCTCGTACAAAAGCACATTAACTGTTCTCATTATTGCCACACTGATAGGGTTAATATTAAAATTCGTCACGCGTGCCTGTTTCTACATGTAGATAAAGGTAAATCACCAAGTAAATATGAAACAGACAACATGTTCGAATCGGATTAAGTGAAAATCGATACTTGCCTTTCTATATGGAAATTAAGTTGTACTGGGCGGTTTTACAATAATCAATATCAGGTGATTGGAATCATATTGCACGTACGTATAATTAAAACAAAAGCGACATCGGCGGCAATATTGTTGATCCAATTTTGAAATGTAAATACTTACTTGGGGATAATCACCGTCCTTCGTTTGATAATCGAAAACGTAGAAAAATGTTCGTGGACCCGTATGCTCCTGGCCGGGTTGGGGAGGTTTCGCACTAAGTAGATCACCTGTTTGTACAAGGGGCGCCACAAACTGTGCGTCACTCAACGCGGCAACTGCGGCATCGCGCGTGTTTATGGGATGCTGGACGGTCCGTTCCCAGTCCGTATATTCGTTAACTACCGTAAAAAATATTTCACTAAGATGATACGTATACGCGTTGCGGATGTAAGTTCTAATGATCTTGTCCCTCCTCTCACCCTCGAACCCCGCCTGAATGTCCGAGGCGGAGAATCTCCAAAGCGCCTCACTAGTAACAACACCAAAAAGTAGATCGTACGGATTGCTACCCCTTGGCATTAAAGTCGCTTCACTACGTTTCATATTTGCATTTACAGCGCTACCTACAAAACTTTGCAGATCCGAAGGTTTAAAATAGGTTAAAAGTTCTTTGGCAAAATCCGTCTTTATCACCACCCCATCTACACTAGGCCCAAACGCACTTAGATACGAAGGCGGTAAGACGTCCGCATTTAAAAGCTCGTCCAACGGAGTCTGGCGTAGACAATCCACAATCGCCTCGTGATCCTTCGCAACGTCCTCCGGTATTGAACAGTTCACCTCTTTGGCCAGCTTAACCGCGTAATTTACGGGATCCTCGACTAATGCCCACGAAGATAGCGCCGAGCCGGAAAGTAGGATCGCGCGATGGAAAAGGCCGGCCATTACCGTGGGGGAGATCATTAAAAAATTTATACACGCCGCCCCCGAACCGTGTCCCACCAACGTTACGTTCGTCGGATCTCCTCCGAACAAGGCGATGTTCTGCTGTATCCAGTGGAGCGCCGCAATTTGATCCATTAGTCCATAGTTCGCAACTCGAGCTTTTAAATGAGGCGCTGGGTTTGCGTTCAGAAATCCTGAAACCAAAACAAGAGTTAAGAATCGACTTATAGTGCATCGTAAGCCTATTTAACAGTCTGGTGCGTTTTAATGCGCCAGACTTCCTCATATGTTGTTCGTGTCTATTTACTAGTCGAGCAGCAAATTCGACGCCATTTCCCGTGGAAATGCAAACGAACGTCTATAGACAAGCAATTACGTTAAGGTAAATCTTTGGCGTTGAAAATGGAAGAGCGCAGTATTTGGTACTACAATTCTAAAATTATCACTAGCGTAATCCCAATGACCTTGTTATGCTCATAGAAAAGGAAAGTGCTATAAGATATTACGGAGCTTTAATGCCGAATATTACAGTTGCCCAAAACTTTGCAGATATCGCTAATTAATTACGTCATAGTCATATGAGTGCCTTGTGGCGCCCTCTCTCAGAACGAGTAACAAAGGGATATCTTAAATGTTACCAATTTCACAACCGTAAGTCATCGCGCAATAAAACCCTGGACTGATAACAGCATCAACAAGGCGACAACGCACCCGAATGGCCTGACAATCGAAATACAGCACCGTTTTAGAGAAAACGATCTCAGAGATAAATCATTACGACGAATAAAACGGGATTAAGTTCGGGATTAACTGCAAGCGCATGCATCGAGAGATTGATTAGTTTGGGTTAAGGGTAGACCGAACGCATACAATATCTGAAAGAGAACACACAACAAAGAGTAAATATCCAGTCTTATAAAACAGCACTAATGGAGCGTAGCGACGTACTTGAACATTGGGATTAAATTGCACGGTAAATGTATAAGATTTAATTTCAATTGGGGCAGGGAGAGAGATGCTCAGGATACAAGCTGTCCCAGTCTCACCATTAAGAATAAGTTGTGCTTAGGAAACGGATCCTTTATACGAAAACACGCAGTTTTATATTAGAAGATAACTGGCAACAAGTTCGATTGTTCGCCCTGTTGCCGAAGTAGATCCACTAGAACAACGAACATTTCCAGAAACGTAACGCCATTATCGGTATGCATATAAACAAAGTCGACCCTCTTAAAAAAGCTAGCAACGAACTATGGTTAACGATGAGATTTTTGTTTCATTTTAGTTGTAGTTGTACATATGCTGTAAAAATGGTTCAATAATTTAGTCGTAACTGCTCTTTTTTGTAATTTAAGACGTAAAAGTTAAAGAACATGTTGGTAATGAATGTATTGCTGTTTTTCAAAAAAAGGGGACTTAATCAAAGTAAAATTTAATTGAATAAGATAAACGATGGCACATGTGTGAAGTTTAGAGATAATGAAATGCATTGTAAAACAAGTGCTCGCATTTCATCGGCCTGTACCGAAGGTAAAAATTGAATAAGCGTACGTAAATGTCAAATACGATTTTCCCGGTGTTTTGAAGTTTTTGTTGTATGTTAATTTAAAAATTTTTAAGAAGTGTTACGAAAGTAGTACCCGAGCTGCCATTTCAACTATGTCAATCGTCATCGAACCAAACTGATGATTTAATAAAATAAATTTTAAATTTTAAATGCCTGATATAAATCATAATGTGTTAATTGAAGAGCGCATTGAATTCGGTGTAGATTCAAGTTTCATTTTCTTTTTAGAATTTGAATTTTTATCCCATAATTCCCAATATTTCAATCAGACAAACTCAAGGGTTAATTTATTGCCGAGTTTGTGAATGTGAATAAAAAAATGGTTTGGGGTGTTTCTATACACTGTGTCCATGATAAGGATGTCTATCATGTGGGTCTCCGAAACCATGGTAGATACGATGCTAGTCAAATTAGGGAAAAGTCATTGTCATTATCATCATTATCATGTTTTTAAGAATACCAGAAAATTCCGATTACTTCCTAGGATATGGCGGAAAAACGTTCCTATTTCGTTTTCTTTTCTGGTGTTACTTGAACAGATAAAAAAAATGAAAAACAGAGGGTAAGGATTTTTTATCTGTGGAAAAGATGGTAATTGCTTTAGATCAAGTTTCGAGCATTCTGCTGGCTACTTCGAATTAGGTTTTCCTGCAGTTTTCCTAATTCGTAAGGTAAATACTGAACTAGTATAGAATAACTTAGACCTTCTGCAGGGGCACATCTAAAAAGCATTATGCAGGCAATTGGGGAACAAGCCTGATGAGGGCCCAGAGAAGAGAGGGAGAATAAATAAATAAATGTCTATGGCCATTTAATGTTGTTCATCTTTGCTAGCTAGGTGGAAAAGAGTTGGGAAATTTTGTAGCAAGCAAAGGGAAAACTTTACAATAAGCAAAACCGCCAAAAAAGGAACAAATGTAAAGAATCAGTAAGCCGACGGCAAACAATAATTCATTTTATTTTATTAAAGTTTTAGTTCAGACCGTTGCAAACGCCCACAAATTATTCAAAATTTATAAGAAACTGAAGAAATTGACTCCTTTTTGCGCTATGCGAAACGGTATTTCAATGAATTGTGTCCACATTAGTTTTTCTGTGGCAAGTGGAAAACGGTTTCCCCATGGAAGCACGTCTTAAGGAAAAAATGGACAACTTTTCATTTATTGGCTCACATCAATCCGAATTTAAATATACGAAAAGGCTCTCCGAAACGGAGTTCAATGGCTTATTGTGGACACACTAGCTTTTTCTGTGGTAAGCGAAGAAAGCGTTTCTATTATGAAAATGCACGCCCTCGGAAAATAGTACATTATATATCAAGGTAGAGAAGTCCACTATTATTGCCTGAGCACCAAGATTACATCTCGAGGCGCTTGCGCCGAGGGGTGTAAGGTGCGAAGTAATAGACTTCTCTACCGTGGTATATATACTATTTTTTTCACTACTAGCACTTGAAATCCTCTAAATTAACATATTATATTGATAAGAGAGTTAACGGTTGGACAGAATTTTTGTTTATTAATTTAACATGTCAATCAAGTACGTGGAAGTACAAGTCAAACAGGCCGTATTTTGTTCTGTCATTGAGATTTTTCAAAGAGAAATTTCGTTCGAGTTTTTTCAAAATGTGATAATTTTAGGTATGTAATTTCTCTGGAAATTGCGAATGGTGGCAATTATTCGTTTTAGAGAACTTGTCTAAACGTTCATTGAGCGAAATTTCGGGTTGTGTTTTCTAAAAGTGACAGCGTGACAGTTCTCATTATTGACTACTAGTTAATAATAAAAAATTATTAACCACTTTGAACAAATGCCGAGAAAGCCTACTTTACAAGTGGAAAAAAGGTTAATAATCATGTCATCAGACGCTAGTAGTGAAAAAAAATATTTACGTTTTTTATTTATGGATGTGGATCGATATTGATTCAAATTGTATCAAATGGAAAAAGTGTCATTAGAAAACAATATTTCTAATGAATACTTTTGAAACTCAAATTCCTGGTTGTAGAATCCAGAAGCTTTTGTAAAATTTCGTTAAAAATCTACTATGATTTTTGAGGCACATTAGAAGACTTTTTGTGCTTTACAGGTAAGGTTTTTTTGAGTTCTAAGTTAGGCCGAAGGTACTTTTTTGTTAAATATTGTGATAATTAGCGATTTATTTTAATACAGAAGTTAACCGCACAGAATTGCTTATTTGCCAATTTATTTAAAGTTTTGCGAGATCCCGCAAATACCGGGATCCCGCGGGATTAACATCTAACAATCCCGCAAATACCGGGATTGAGATTTTGCTGCGGGATTGCATTCCCTACTAGAAACCAATTTCGAAAGAAAATTCAAAGGGCTGTAACTTTTGAACTAGTAGCCCAATCTTGGAACTGTTTGAAATTATGGATTCTACAGGCCACATTCTATAAGAAAATTTTTTTCCGGGTCGATCTGAGACAATTTTTTTTTAGGGCCTCAAAAAAAGGCAGTGTATAACCTTCCTTTTTTACCAAAAATCGACTACACCAAAATTTCTCGGGAAAACACTTTTTCTTATTAATTTTGGTGCGTAGAATCCAAAACAATTCGTACTTTTTCGATCAGACTTCTCAATCAAAAGTTATAGACTAGAAACCAATTTCGAAAGAAAATTCAAAGGGCTGTAACTTTTGAACTAGTAGCCCAATCTAGGAACTGTTTGAAATTATGGATTCTACAGGCCACATTCTATAAGAAAAATTTTTTTCCGGGTCGATCTGAGACAATTTTTTTTGAGGGCCTCAAAAAAAGGCAGTGTATAACCTTCCTTTTTTACCAAAAATCGACTGCACCAAAATTTCTCGGGAAAACACTTTTTCTTGTTAATTTTGGTGCGTAGAATCCAAAACAATTCGTACTTTTTCGATCAGACTTCTCAATCAAAAGTTATAGACTAGAAACCAATTTCGAAAGAAAATTCAAAGGGCTGTAACTTTTGAACTAGTAGCCCAATCTTGGAACTGTTTGAAATTATGGATTCTACAGGCCACATTCTATAAGATTGCATTCTCTAGTCCGCACTGTTAAAAGCGCCTTAAAAATAGGCAAACCACGTAAAATACCCTAAATAAATTCTCCCTGGGTATTTGACAATTCCCTTCAACCTTCCTAGATGTAAGAAAATACAAAATAAACCCTGGACATACATTTTTGACCCATTTTATGGGCGGGTATTGAAATGCTACCTTGCGCTTAAGAAACCCGCTATAGCAAGCGCCGTCCGGGGTTGCGGGGTTGGCGGAATAGCTGAAATTGAACCTTAGGGTGTCTAGAACATCCTCTGAAAGTTTCATAAAGTTATCACAAAATGCAAGGTTGAAATCTATTTTGGCTCTTAACCCCTGCACTATTGTGTCGATTAGAGGTGAGATTAAAATGTATGGTCCTAATTGGAAGCATAAACATGCTGCAGATTATGGTGAAGGTTTTCAGCGACTCATAAAAAGGAAGTTCTATGATACCTTCCATTTCGTCTTCTGATACCTAATTCAGGAAAATATAATTTTGCTATTTGTATGAATAATTTAATTCTCTCATTTCATCATTTTCAATGGTAATCAACAAGTGGATGCTAGTTTAAAAATTTCTAAATATTCTGAGACTGATGCAGAAGCTTTGACGAGACGAGATGGTGTCCACTGGCGGAGATCAGAGATCTTTCAGGCAGTCAGAGTATAGGTATTATAAAACGTATTGATTTGTATCAGAGAACGAAAGTAAAATACAGAGAAATAATGCGAAAATTCGAGGAAAAGTTGCACCCGCCATCAACTCACAGATGAGGATTTTCATTGTTAACGTGGTATTCCAGTAGGTTTGGCGTGTATAATTTTCACAATTCTATTGTTCCCAATTTTTTACTCGAGTCATGAAATAAAAATACCTTAGAGCGTTTTTATAAAATCTGTTTGTAATTTCGAAATAACCTTCATAGTTGTACTTAAATTTTTTTGATAAAATTAGAAAAAAAACTACAGCTTCACTGAAAAACTTCTAGATTGAAAACTGGTGGATCAATGTAATCATATATTACTAACCAAATATGCGTATAGCAAGAAAAGTCATCAAAATGTCATTAATGTTAAATTACAAAGGCCGTTCATTCAGCTTCTGCCTACTTTGAAAATTCATATCAGATACTATCTGAAAAAAGAATATAATAAGCTTCCCTTTCGAAATAGATTCGTAATAATTAAATTGAAGCTTAACATGTACAAAGCTCATAATTTCTTAATGGCTTGTACACGGCCAAAGTGTCCGTTTTGAGTGGAAAGCTTCCCTCAGCATAACTGATAAATAAATTAAACGAATTTTCCGTAAGCTAGAGAAGCGTTTTATTTTTCTGCACTTAAACTATTGCGATAAAACGAAAATGTTTTACGTAAATTTCGCAATTTTTATTGCCCACGACCGGCACTATCTGTTTCTCCCCAAAAAAAGCGAATCCCCCAAAATCTTTACTGCCGCGACGTTTTATGTCGTCTTTAAATTTACCATCGACGTTTTTCTCTAAATTTATTCCACATTTTATGACTTTATATACACGATAAATAAATTTTGATGATACCTTTAATTAAGTTTTATCTTAATTACGTTATTAAAGTTTTGATGAGGGTTGACTACGTAATTGTGACTTCATCAAGGAAGTAACGCGCATTCGCAGCCATTAGCTAATTTAGACTGATTTCTATTTTCTAGTTTTTTCGTCTGTTGCACTTTTACGTTTAGTACACTGTTGGAAGATTTAATTACTGCAGTTTAAATAGTTTTGTTTTCGCCGCTTGATGCCGGCAGCTTCTCAATTAGGTTTTTTTTTGCAATGCAATGCAATGCAATTAATCTTCCACATTATTTAATTAATACGAGGGTCGTTTCCTGTATTGAAATAAATACAGTGTCAATATAAATTTTTTGATGTAGACTCCCCGAAGAGCTTTTCCCCGAGCTCCTCAAAATAGGCCAAACAATTCGGTAGCTAGGTCATGTTTCGTTTTGAGAACAAGAGGAAGTCTGACGGAAACAAATCGAGCGAATAAGTAGGGGGAGGGGAGGCGGGGATTTTTCCTGGGCACAAGATGGTACGAATGCACGGATGCATTGTCGATTTTCCATAATCAACGATTGTTCCTTTTTATTTATTTTTTTTTTCATTTATTATCTCTCTCCTGTTCTGGACCCTCCACAGGCTCGCGCCCAATTACACAGTGACCCGCATAATGCTTTTTAAAGGTGCCTCTGCAGAAGGTCTTAAGTGTTTCTATACGACTCCGGTACTTACCTTACGAACTAGGAAAACTGTAGGGTAACCTAATTAGGAGTAGTCGGTAGAATGCTCGAATCTGGTCTAAGGAAATTACTATCTCTGTCACAGATGAAAAATTCTTACCTCAGCCCAGGTTCGAACACCCAACCTCCGGTTTTATATTTGGCTATGAGCGAAAGAGCGCGTCAGCGATAGAGTTCTCGGCTCCTGAGGTGAATTTGAATCGTGCATCCAATTATTTACTTGCCTGGAAGATGTCTTATTTGCACGTGAGGGCGTATATTAACGGTTTATGGTCCGTAAAAATTGTGAAGGGGTGTCGTTCACGAATCCGCCTGAAGTTTTTGGTTGCAGCACTGCAATCAACTCAAGATCGTAGGTGCTGTATCGTTATTCAACGGAGAAGAATGCCAAAAGGAACCCACTTGTCTTGTCACTAGTCCCGGGCGGTGCCAATGGTGTCTGTACGCAGTGCATAACGGGATGTGGACACGAGGAAGACTGCACTAAGAGCCTTAGCAATGCTTGCAAGGCTGTTTCTTCCACTTCAGACCATTGCAATTTAACCTACTTTTTGAGAATTCATTTTAAGAATGGTCAATGGAGCCTGAAGGTGGGACGCATAAGTGATACAACGACGGTAATGGTTCATCACACCTAAACACGCCAGAGATCAGTCGAGTTGAGTGACTTTGGGAAATATAGAATCGGTTGCACCTTGGCAGGGGGTAGTTTAAAACCATTTTTGTAGACAGCAAGGCCTGCGAAAGTTACCTGTGTTGCGTCCAGCGTTGACTTCGCCCAATTGGTGGGAGATTCGCACCTTGGGACACCGTGAAGAGTTCGATGAGGTGGTGCCGGTGTTTTTCGTGCGAAGGGTTGACTCATCTAACGTAACTGATATTCTTAAATCAACTAAATGATTGTTTGAACATTACAGAATAGGAGACTATAATCAAATGACTCTGGTAATATATCTTTCGGCGCAGAAACGAAGATGTACCATGTAATTTTTTTTCCAATTAATTTAAATTTCTCTTACGAAAAATTTGGTGTCATTTGAGTTTATTGCTAACCCAAAAGGAATGTAGGGCATTATTGGAGACGAGTGTCTGTCCGTACCAATGAGCAGGAAGCTGTAGGGTAGTAATGTCTTGTCAGTCGTTCAATTTCCTACGGTATTTACTCATTTTAATGTTATTTCTTATGATCTTGATGAAATACTCCATTGTGAAACTCGTTCGGTGGCTTTCTTGTAGATGTTTAAGTCGGGCCATTATTGGCACTAAAAAACCAAATTTCAATATGAGTGAGGAGGATTTATTTTAGAACTGCTTCCAGAAACAAAAAAAAAAGGCAGCGTAAAGTTGCCCTTCGCATTACTTTTTCAATGCGCTCGCTAGTAAATAAATGGCATTTAGGTACGTCATAAATAAACCGTAGGAAAAAGAAAGTAAACGCTGTACTTACCCAATATACCCAAACGATAATTTAGGGTTACGACAACAAGTTCAGCATACGCGGCAATAACGGTTCCATCGTAGGGATTTCCTGAATTCCATTCGAACGATTCCCCATGGATATAAACTATTACTGGATAACGTACTTCCGTTCCGACTGTAACAAAGGCCTCATATTAATTTCTATTTCAATGTTCGTTAAAACAGAACTAAATTAAACAATTATATCGTGCGCAACTTGGCACAACAAAGGTTCGTTTTCAAGTTAGTTTATGTCAACGACACTAACGAAGGCAAAATGGTCAGCGAATTAAGCACCCCGTATCTTAAACGTTCTCAACTACAAAGGAGATAATTAACTAAATCTGATTGTTAAGGTTTTGGCTGTGTTTTCTTGGCGACCTTCTTATTTTCGACACGATGTCATTTTCCTTGCTTCCGAGCATTATCATAATTCATAGAAATTGACAAACTTCGACGATTTCTTTTGTTTTAGTAGGTCAATGGATGACTTCTAAGGGTTGTAGGGGATGTAGTTCAATCATTACGAAAGCAAATAGAGGCAGTAAAAATTGTTTTTCTTTCGTTCTGAATTATGTTTGTGTATGCTGATGATGTTTAACGTATGCTTTGTGTTCGCTTTCTGATCAAACGTTATTCGGAATTTGCACAAGCTATTATTCTTGAGTGTGTAGGGCGAGATATACATGTTTTACCTATTTTTACGAGACTGAATTTATGAATCGTAATTGAACACGAAATGAAAGCTAACAGGTCAGCTGCCAATTGTGCATATTAGAAGTTATGAATGCACTTAAAGGTTTAATTTATTAGGTTTGATCCTACATTCTTCAAAACTTAACGCAATTAGTTTTCATATTCGCCTTTGATTCAAAGGGTTACAATAAATGCCCGAGATTTCTTTATTGACACAGATTCCACCCTTAAATTCCCATAATTGGGATATACAAAATTTAATTATATAAAATAATTAATCCAGATCCTCCAGTTTCTACTAATGCAGGTATATACCGAGAATAAGATATACCTAGAATCGACGGTTGCATTGGTTACCATGTGTCAACCAATCATGGTATACATGCTGCTATGGCAGTTATTCCAAGGATATCTTATTCTGCGTAAAATAGCAATTGTAAAATCGGCCCTAAAGGGAAAAACGCTACCTACGGGTGATAAGAATAGGAAAGGAGGAATTTTCTTCCATCTTAAGAAGATAAGCATCCAAAGTGATCCTGCCCCCCTCCCACAGGTATGCCAACTAACTGTTCTTGTTAAACATCACTGCGAAAAGAATGCCACTCGCTGTGGAGCGGCAAATACAGAATTATTGACTGCATTATAGAATCCTACTTAGTCAAATATTCATTTTCTACACAAAAAAGTTTAAAGCTTTCCGTAAAAACGGAATATCTTGCAAAACAACCTCAAAAATATGCACCTAAAGCAACAAAAATAAATTAATAAATCATTTTATGAAGATATAAAGAAAATTGAAAAGTTAGATCGCTACCTACAGCTAATTCGCACATCTTTAATTATAAGTTACACCAAAGCAGGGAATTACACTTCGCACAGAAAACTTTCAACAATGTACACATTTTTATTACTTTCTTGAACGGAAACATAGACGCCGGAAAACTTTCTAACGATAAAATTGATTAAATCTTGACACATCAACGGCAATGATTTATGTTTAACAACGTACAACAAGAAGACCCCAAAACCCCTCAAACGTAATTACAAAAGTTAACAGTTACTAATTATAAGAGAAGGCTTTCTCCCTTCACTTAGCGTCCTATTATTGCTCGATTTTTTTTTCAAAAAACCTGAAACTAACAGCGATTACGACGAACTTAAATTAAAATCTAGTTTATCGCAAAACTTAATTATAAAAATTTTTACAAACTTTTTCGTTATCTTCCTTAAGGCAACAAACTTTTATATAAAAGTGCGCCAATGAAATTACAAATAGTTTTCGGCGAAGTTTTAAAATTAAAACTATAGCATTTCCACTAAGATGTTATTAAAAGTTTGATTCAGTTATAATTGATAAATGAAACCGTTCTTTGCGGTAGTTCTTTTGTTTTGAGCGAACCCGAGCCCTTTGTGACTAGTGGAGTTTTCTCGTCGAAGCTTTACACTTCCTTTAACTAGTTTACGGTGGAGAGCGTTGCAAAGTTTCCAGTTTCTTAGAGAAGCTTTGTCTAACCTGTCTTGTGTTTAGCTTAGTTATGTCTATTCGCTTTAGAGCTAAATTATATGCGTGCGTAATTTATTTCTTAGAAAGTTAGTAAATTATGTTACATGCATGCAAGGGGTATAAGATAATTAACTTGGCCACCATTCTGTTGATTACAAAAGAGTTTTCTTACAATGTAGATATTCTACGACTTTTATGTCGGAGAAGTTGGCAATAAAAGCTTTAAAGGCAGTAACAGTGAACATTATGACAAATGTATGTGCCCGAAAGCTATTAGAGGTACGTCGACGGTAGTAGAACCAAATCCACCTCTCGAGTGGTCCTCAGCATCTCGCTTATTCTTTATTTAAATACAGGATTCATTTGACATCGTGGAAATTACAATTAAAGTTGGGTCAGTAACATGCCCTTGCGCGAAGGGCACGATTTATTTAAAATGAATTACCTACATTAAATTAGATGGTATAGTAACGGTAAACCCGCACTAGAGGAATAGATTGAACACAAGATGTTTTGTTTTATTTCGATTACAACTAATTAAAAAAAACGCTAAAAATTTACAAAATTACTAAATGTCGACTAATCTCTTGAAATGTAAATGTTTTTTTGGGAGCTTTAGTTAATCGTTTCTGATGGTAAAGTGAAATAGGTAGGTTTTTGAAAATTTGTACTTAGGAGTTACTCTGAAGGCCGAATCTATGTAAAACATTTTCAAAATTGTGGCACTTCCTGAAATACCGGAAGTAGCCCGTAAGTTCGATATTTTAAATGGCAATCCCTATTTGTTATTGCATTTTTGGTTTATACGTAAAATTCAGTTCTTTTGAAACCCACGCGTCGATATTTATTTATTTATTTATTTATTATTTAATTCCAACAGCAATAATGCCTATTACAGGAATGATCAAAGTAAAAATACACATAAATCATAACATAATTAATAAAGATTGAACATAACCAAGTTTTATAATAGAGAAGACGTGAAAATAAATCATATCAATAATTATAAATCTTAATCGTTAATTGCTTACAATTTTATATTTTATATTGGGGAAAAGGTGAAAATAAATCAATGCTATGAAAAAACTTATTAAAAACTGACGACCTCTTATAGTTACTGTTATTATTTGCAATTTATGATTTTTAAGTTATTTTGACTTAAAAAAATGACTAATGCAGACGGTACCTTGAAAACTGATCACGAAATTGATTACTTGAAAACGGTTGTAGTTATGGCAACCCATTTGTACCAGTACCAGTACACAGAAAAAGAATAGGGCTTTCTTTCTTTTAATGTACCTAAATAAAGTTAAGGACTAAGTGAAGGAATTTCACTCACCACTAAAGTTTTTTTTCTCCAACCACCTGAATAAGACGCTATTTTGTGACAGTGTTCGGTACCTAAAATTGACGTTTTGCGGATTAATCGCTTTCACCATGGCAACTGTACAAAAAGTGGATACTTTTGGTCCTAGTACCAAAAAGAAATTGACCTTGAAAGTTGGCCAATTAAAAAATTACAATCACGGAGATATGTCACATTGACATCGTTTTACATTGCAGGTTGTAAGATAAGATATTTCTATACATACAAATCAAATATTTTTGCATATTCAATGCAAATAATGATGTTACCTATACGTATGTACATGTATTGAAAATGATTTACGCTCGCTATTTTTATTTAAACCATGTGTAACGTAATTTACATATTCCGTGAACGTAATTTTAATACGTATACAACCCGCCGTCGCGCGTAACGCCATCTACTTCAGACCCATTGCACTATTATCTGTCATTTTGAATTCAAAATTTGAAAAAGTTAATTGCAATTAATTTTAATTAAAAAACTGTATGGTAAGTTTTTTATTTCAATACAAAATATAACAATATTAATTGTGTATACAATAAAATGACTGAAACTGATAGCGACATGGATTGCACTCCGCCAGAGATTATAGAAACGGCAGAACATGCTACCTCAAGATTTGCTCCCTACAAAGTCGCGAGAGGTGAGAAGTAAGAGGTAAAAACGAATAGGTTATAAGTTAACCTAAAAAGTAGAGTGGCATAACACGTGAGGACAAGAAAGCAGAAGTTCTTATACTATAGTAGTGAAACTGTAACTGAATCTAAATTCGAATATAATTTGAAGTAAAGGGGGTTGGAGAAAAAATTTTATGTTTTATTCGTACAAAAAATGCGTTTTCGCGTCGTCCAGCAACTATCTTCCTCGTCCCGAAAACTGACATTTTTTGTACTAATGAAACAAATAACTATTTAATGAAACGACCATTTTCTTACACTCTCATTTGATAGAGAATCAAAATTGGCATATTTTGACATTACATTTTCCTATAGCTATCTTTAACAGTTTCTGACTTATTCCCATTTCATTGAATTGATACCATTTTTTTCAGATTTTCCTTTTAGTCGGCCATGATTTCGTCAAAGAGTAATTAATAATTTGATTTCGTGACTATCATATTTTAAACAAATCTATACGTCGTCTAGTATAAAAACAGTCGCCACCCAATGCAAAACTTATGTAACGGGCAATTAAAAATGATAGGAGTTTTAAAACTCGAATCTGGGGAATAAAAGAAGAAAGAATAAATGAATCTAGTAAGCAAGGATTTAGTTAAATAAGGTGACGAAAAATTCGCGAAAAAAATCCAAGGCAAAGATTTGAAAAATGTTAGTCTGAAAAAATTGGAATAATGGCAAAAAATGGAGGAATACTGGGGGTCACAAATTTTGGAAAGTTTTCAGAAATCGAAGAATTTTTGAAATTGACACAAACTTGAAGTATCTGAAAAAGCGGAATACTTCGAAGCAAATGAAAAAAAATATGCTGAAGATTAAAGACCTTATAGGACAATCTGAAGAATTTAGAGAATCCTACAAATCTGATTTTTTAAATAGTCATTAAGTGA